TAGGAAAATCAAATTTTACCAAAGTCTCCCTCTCTCCCCTCTCCCTCAACAAAATGTTAAATTTATTAATTAAAACAAAACATTACATAAATGAAATGAAGCACATTCGAACTCGTATAAATAAGCTTTAAAGGCTAATTACGACTATTGAAAAATTCGTAATTACCTTGGTCTTCATTGACTTCAGGCAATTTAATTCCTGTAACAACTATATCAAATCATTATGCATTATGAGTTTTGAGTTAAACACGGTTTATATAATATTACAGTCACTCTATAACTGAGATAATTTAGACCAATTAATTAATGCAAAATAATATTGTGTAAATGTTAATGTATTTATAATAGTGATGTTTGAATAAACTGTTTAAATTATATTTCGAATGTTTATTAAAAGTTAAGCATAAAATATATATATAGCTTTATGACTTTATATTTGAATTGGATATTGTAGAGTTACAAATGTGTAGGTCACTATCAATTTTTCAAATGTTATATTTACCTAATTTATATTCTATTTTTCTAGCATAATATACTAACGTAACGAATAGCTTTAAAATTAAAACAAAAACATACATTTTATTTTACCTACACATTTTTTTATCATTAATATCGATATGTCATAATGGTATAAGTCAATAGGTAGTTAAGTATATTAAATATAAGTATACTCATACCTAATAAGACTAGGGCCTCGATAAAAATTATGCTTAAAGAGGTAATGTGAATACGATTTTCTAAATAGTCATTTTTCAAAATCCAATTTTTTAAATTCCAAGGGCCAAGGAGTGAGGACATAATATTTAGTTTTACACTAGAGCACCTGAACATTCCTGATGCACCACTGTACTCAACTATGACGTGATCGTGGTTTCTCGAAACTGAAATATGTTAAACCATATTAAGTAGTACCTTGTCACAAGACTAATTAGACAGTTTTTTGGTTATATTTATCGAGAAAGGGTTGTTCAACGGTGTAGACTCGGATGATATAATCGATAAGGCGGCTAATAAAAGTTAAGTGGTGTCTAAAATTGTTTAAAAAAAAAAAAATATATAATTTTTTTTTTTAACAAAATGATTTGTTTTATAATTACTGTATAAAGTTTAATATTTAACTATATTAGTTTAAGTCATATTTAATTTTAAAGTTTTAAGTTTGTCGGCCGTATAATAACACAAAAAATAAGAAGATAAATATTGCTTGTCTTAGCTTTTTACATAGACTCAGCAGAGGTATTACACTATCAACAACTAGAAATTATCATTTCATTGGTAAACAAACCAGAATTATTTAAATGTAATAAACCATTATTTCCAATGTTACTTATTTTCATAGGATATTTAGATTTTAGAAAAACTGATTGTTGGGAAAAGTGGTGTTTGGTATTTGTCAATCTTATGGAAATACAAACATTCCCAACGTACAATTTACCTCAAATTCACTTTTCCTAATTAACAATTTTTCCATAGGAAATGTGGTCTTTGGAAAATATACAAATTGGGAAAAGTGGTAGCTACCCCCCACCACGATATTGCTTTATCAGTCGTAAGTAGAACCATTGTAGTTATATACAATTATTGTTTGCATTGATCTTATTTAAATCATATTGAAGCCAATCCAATACCATAATGGTTAACCAACCAGGATATTTTTTTTCCACAACTAGCTATTTGTATAATATAATCTACACTGACTTATTTAGTCACTCAACATTATAACTCTATTTAGGGTATGTCACCTGTAGCATAAAATCTTTATATAACAACCATTGAGATGAATTTTCCATTGGAAATATTAACTATGAACCTGTCACCCAAGTTTGCACAGTAATTTAATAAGAGGTAGAACAATAAGGAAATGATTTAGAAGGATAAATAAATAGTTGGAATAGATTAGATAAAAATTTGTATGTTTTTACTAGTTCGGTAATTGTTTATTATATTGGTAGACATGTCAAAAAACAGAAATAGATTACAATATTATGTAATAACAAAAAAATGTATTGATGTGGAAAATGTTATTGAAAAAATCCACCGACGATTCACTTGCCGTCAGCTTAGGGATATGTATAATATTTAAAAAAATCAGGTTTTATAATGTATATAGTAATTATTACAATAAGATAAATTATAATATAATATATAATAAACAGAACACAGATACCAGTGTTGAACTAACACTAGGTTAGAATGTAAGTGGGTCTTATAGACGTCCAATTCGTAACTGGTCCTGGAGTGATTCTAGTGGTCGGCCTAGGTCTAAGCTTATTTGAGACCATTTGCCATCAATATAACCGTACCTCTTTTTGCCATCATTTTTATCCGTAAAGGTACATGTAAGGCCAGTTAAGTTAACCTCAACTGCTTCCATGTACAATTCTGGAGTTTGGGCACTTAAGTATATTCCGATGAAACGACACTTCGCTGGTAAAGAGGGATCATTTACATGCTGCACAACTCCTGATCAAAAATTAGAAAATATTTTTTTTAATTTGCTAATATTAGTTTACCAGTTATTACTTATCTTAATGGTTCAAAACAAAACTATTTTATTTGTAAATACGAAGTCATAAAATAATAATAATACAATAAGCATGGTGTCGTATTGTACAGCCATGTTATATTTTGTATTACATGTAAGCACGAGTAAGTAGTTATAACTTATTTGGTTAATTGTTAAAAATTCAATTCAATTGTCCCTATTAAATAACCTTAAAACAAATATATATATATATATATATATATATATTTGTATATAATAAAACCGTACAACTCCATAATAATATTTACCTAATACACGACGTTCGATTATACGTATTAAAGCTATAGCAACACATTGTCTTCCTCTGTTAGCAATTGTTATCAATGTTCCCAAATCTATGAAAAAAGTTATTAAATGACCGTAATTGGAAGAAATAAATAATATATTAGTCGCTCTTTATACATAATTTTTGCATTACATTACAAATAATTGTGATATAACTAACTTTATGTACAGCCACTTATTAGTGTTAAAACTCTTCAAATATATTCTTTCTATACTCGAAATCTCAAAAAATGTATTACAAATTAACACTGTAGTGACACACTCTCTCTCTCTCTCCTCAACAAAAAGTTTATTTCATTAAAACAATTATTTGACATAATACATTAAATTAATAAAAACAAGCTTTTAAGGCTATTTACGACTGTAAAAAATTCGTAATTACCACTATTATAAGTTTCTTCATATCTAAATCCTGTAACAAACACATCAAACCATTATACAGTTAATAAAACCCGGTTTATATTTTATACATAACATTCACTCTATAACTGAGGTTAATTAGATCAATATTAACTAATACAATATATTATTGTATATATGCTAATTATTTATTTTATAGCTATGTTTAAATAAACGGTTTAAATTATAATTGAAATGATTATTTAAAACCTTAAACATAAACACGTCATTTAGCTTTATGAAAAGTCATAAAGCTAAGTTATAAACCGAGAATTTCTTAAAAACTACCAAAATATGTAATCATTAATTTTTTTATAGTATATTTACCTAATAATTTTTCTATGTATTCTATCATTTCTAGTAACAAATTATTGGCTTCTAAAATTTAAGACAAAATACATTTTAATGTACCTACATAACTTTTTATGATTGAAACTGATGTGTCATATTGGTATTTGTGAACAGATACAGATGATTTTTTTCAAAGTATTTATAGGTAATAAATATGCAATACGTATAATAAATTTAAAATATAAAAAGGGGTTTTTACTTTTCTGTGGGTCAATATTTTTAAGTTCTGAAATTAAAACAAAAATCTTGTGTGCATAAAGAATATCAAACAACTGCATAAACTGCTGTGTCATATTGGTATTTGTTAATAGATACAGATGATTATTTTTAAAGTATTTATAAGTTATAAATATGCAATACGTATAATAAATATAAAAATTAAAAAGGGGTTTTTACTTTTCTCTGGGTCATCATTTTGAAATTCTGAAATTAAAACAAAAATCTTGTGTGCATAAAGAATATCAAACAACTGTATCAAAACGCTTTCATAGAGTACAATGAAAATTATTACCCGGTATTCCCAAGACTATTTCTATTTTATCTGAAATTAACAACACAAAAATTAATGATACTGCAACTAATTTTCTATTCTGTTATAAACAGGAAGACGAATTTCAAGGTAGAAAAAACATGTGAATTAGTAACTCAAAATAAACATGCTCTACTGTATATTCAATACGATAAGAGTCTTTGGAAAATTCTATAGGAATGAAATATTGGAAATATTTTCATAAGACTCAACAAAAACTATTACCTGGTACAGCAATCAAAAAAATAAGTTTGCCTAAAATGAAATTGACATTACATAAATTAATGATATTTAATTGGATTTTCTATAGTAAATTATTAAATTATATAATTATAAATTAGAAGGCGTAGGTCAAAGTAGAAAAAAACTATATTATAGACTAAGGAATCTGTATGAATATAATGGCCGAGTTGATGCAGTTTAGGCGATGAGAATAAAATGTATTAATCAGACAAAGTTGATAAAGCTAGCATCAATAATTTTTCGTAAAGCATCTATTTAAATTTCGGTGAAAAATATAATAACTATAACAGCCATCAATTGCATAAAGATAAACACGAGATGCAGTTATTTTATTATTTTCAAATATTTTTTTCTACTTTTGTCTTGTTGTTTTTTATAATGATTATAATCGTGATTACGTAAACTATTCTTGTAGCAATCCTTAGCATCGATATCATAAACCATTGTCTCAATTACATGCTCCAAATCATCTAGAATAAACAAATGAAGATTTTGGCTATACTAGAATAATATAGATTATTAGGAATTATTTTTTTTTTATAAATTATGTAGCAACCCTGTAGCCCTGTACGTATGTATTGCAGGCTGTTTGAGTGTTGTTACAATCGTGGTGATAGGTTTTTAGATATTTAATAGAATAACTTCAGAGTAAATCACAAACATTTAATTTAATATACTTATAAAACATGTACAACGACAAACAGTTAATAGCATAAGTTCAGTATGCTTCAAAAATATGATGATTAAGACAATTATAAGCCGCTTAAGACTTCAAAAGAAGATGATAGGTAGAAACTTCAAGTGTAGTGTATGGTGGTCCCAGTACATCTGCTCTGCTATGACTGAAGTTCTCCCTTATATGTTGGTCCGCTCGCTGAATGGCCGTGGGAATCCTCGCAATTATCGAAAGTCCGCGTGTGGATGACCTCGCTCGTCCATGACATCCGCTTATGTCAACGGTGGAGGAAGGGTAGAGGCATGAGAGTGCAGCCTTCGCATGGTCGAAATTGGCTAGCTTCGATGTGAGATTCGCACGGTAGTTGCCAAAAACGTTAAGTTTCTCTTAGTGGTTGGCCTCGTGTTTGAGGTCAACTGTGAACAGAATTGCAAGTTGTCTGCTTTCGCAAGATGCTGTAATGACCTTTTGGGTCTGATGTGAAATCGGCACGTGTGGTACATTCATATTTAGCAATATTTAATAATGAGAAGTTATATAATATAATATATAGATATATGTATATGTTAGTCCTGATAAGTTGTACAATGTAATAAATATATATATGTATCTATTAGCCCTGATAAGGGTGGGTCCGTTACATCTCCATCGTTTTTTTTTAGTTTTTTGGACGTAGTACAAAAAACTTCATTAAAGGTTACAATTTGCTTGGGATATGTTACATAAAGTGTTGTGTTACATGATTAAATTCATAATAAAATGTATAAAGCTTAAAATGCTTCGTGTTCTTAACTAATTTGCTTAAGAGGTTAATAATGGTTAGTTAACAATATATATTAATGTGGTTTCCTTTAGAACAATAAAAAGGTGGTTAGTACTTATTTGTATAATATATTAGATTAATTAGAACATTTTTTTTTTTTTTTTCGCATGTGCGCTTATTTACATACATAAAATTATCCTTATTCTAATGGTAGTAAGACCCAGTACGTTAGAACTTAATTGAATCTTAACTAAATGGTTTATTACCGGATGGGAGAAATGTAGTAGTGATAGCTTATAATTTGAGTTACTGTTTAGAATAAATACTACAATAGAGGATTATGTATATCTATATATATTATTTTTTTTTTTTTTTATCTCTACAAATCTCAGGGCATATGATGTTTCCAGCCCCTAATAGAACGTGTGGTTCTGGGAAGTAACGTATCTGCGGCCCGGTTGTGAAGAGATCGACTGGCGTCGTTCTCCTAGGGCGTGTAGACACGCGTCTAACTCGCACTCATCATCGTCCCCTATGTCAATGTATAGGCTTAAGGCCATGGTTGTATCATATGGCCCTTAAAATATATATATATATATAAATGATTCTTATTAGTGAATCTTTTAATCTAACTGCTAAACTAAATTTCTACTTTTACTTTCAGTTAATATATTATAAAATGTTAATCTACTCCTCTTAATTCTACTCCTTCTTCCTCTCCTGGAGTATATACAATTTGACGTCGCGGTTGACGTAAAGAATTCCGATGGTTAATGTCATGTAGATAAATTATGGCAAGTATCATTAGTAAATTAATTGAACATATTATAAATAGGATATAGTTATAATAAAAATGTTTGTTTGGTGCTTGCAGTAGACTTTGTTGAAGCTGCAACTGAGAGAGGGGTTTTCCCGTATTTAAAAAATCAGTTATGGACCTTATTGGTGATTGAAAAGGGTCAAGGATTTGATCAACTAAAGTAGAAGTCAAAATGTTTGCTTCTTTTATTGTTACATTTGCTATGTAGTTACCATAATTATCTTGTTCGTTAGTTGGAGTGCTTGGAATTAATACATGATCGGCACCATAAGCCTTGCAAGTTTCGTTAAGAGTTAAAATACCAGTACCCATTATATCAATGAGTGCTAGGGACTTGTTGGTGCTGTTACTGCAGGTAATAAGTATTGACTCCCCGTTTGAAATGAAATACCATTTATTTTGATGTGTTAACTTATAGAACACCGTAGTACCTAATTGGTTGAATGTTATATCACAGACAGCTGGTGCTGTGTCTAACTCTTGGAATAATAAGGCTTCGCATAAGGGTTTATTTGAGGTTAGATGTAATGGATAAATTTCCGGACATAATCTAAATTCGTCGGTTTGTTGGCATTCTACTTGATCAATCCTTTCGAAAGTGGAATATAGCTTTCGTGAGGCTGTCATAGCTATGTAATGGAATTTGGGCTTGATAAAAACACAATTATGGTTAATACAAACAGGATGAGGTAATATATGAAATACATCTAAGGTTTCATCATATGTTAACGGAATTCCTATTTTTAGTACAACTCGGTCGTTAGAATAATATATAGCTAGTTTGGATACCTTTAGTAATTTAGGTATATTTCGTAGTGATAAGGCGTAAGGTAATTCGGTGTTTGGATCGAATTGATCTGTAATGGACTTAAGTTGTTCTAGAATTGCCTCGTCATTAATCAGACTAGGGTGTATATAACCTAACCTAGCGCTTTGGAGTATTTCAAAAAGAGTGTTCGCTTCTAGTGAAAATTGATTAAGTAATGCGTTTAGAGCTAAAGCGTTGTCTATTCGAACGCGATCCAAATCTCCTATTGTGTTATTTTGGTCATATGCGGATATCATTTCCAAAGTATCAACAGACGGCTGCTTAGAAGTAATGTTAGGAAGGCCAAGGACCTTTGTTAGAATTGGTAGAACCGAATGTTCACCTGATAATGCCTTGTCTATTATTTTATCTGAATTTTGTATACATAGCTCACTGCATAATCCGAATAATAGGCGAGCTGCCTTGCTTAATAATTTAAAAGGAATTCCCCGCTTTGAACGACTAGGTTCAATAGTTCTGAAGATTAAATCAGTTTTATTTACAATGCTAGATAGAGAAACCCTGGCTTGTGTGTTTAAAGTTAGACAATGATCGTGAATAGAATTAATATAGCTTTCATTAATTGATGCTAATTGAGGGGAAAATGATTTAGTAAAGTGTTCACAATATTCGTATGATGCATTAACCCTTGCCTCTAGTAGTTGGGCATTCTGATTGTACTGACTTAAGTCTAAATAAGTCAATAGAGTAACTTCCTTGGTTTGAACCTTAAGAGAATCAAGTTTTTCATAGTATAACCCGCTTTGGGTATCGGATAATGTGTCAACGTGGTACCGAAAATCCGCGCAGACTGTTCGAAGTATACACATTCCTATGACCCTGAAATGTTGTATTTCGTATTAGAATATATCTTAACAACCCGTATAGCAATTTGTTGCTATATTTGTTTTCTATTTATCCAAGTGATTGAAAAAAGTGGTTTAACAGTATTTTAAATTTTAAATCTTTAGCTTTTTAAAGAAAGAAAAGAAAACTATCATTTTATTTTAAAAGTAATTAAAATAACATAATATCTTAGTTTATTATAACATATGACAGACATAATAATATTATTTCGTATCGCGTGTCGCCGATACGTGTCTTCGTTCGTATATGATTATAATACGGGGTTTGGTTGATAAATATCAACGAGTCGATTATCCGAGTAGAATTAAATATACTAATATCGTTTGTACGGTGTAAAATAATGTTGTGTTATACTATACGTACGGTATAGTATAGGCACTGAAAGGTAATATATTTTTTTTTTTTTTTACGTGACATACTTCAAATTCATCTAAGTTGTCATAATTTAATTCGTTTATCTGCGAGAAACTAAACGGTTTTGTTGCGTTTCATTTATATTTATTGGCAAAACGCCATCCTTTATTATACTAGTTATGTTAGCGCTGGTAAATTACCAGGTGTAAATTGTAATTTATTCACTAAAATACGTGTGTCTTCCGATAATGGATTTATGATTATATAATTTACTGATGTCGTTCATGTCGAAATTATCATGCTAAACTTGGTATTTAATTCGCGAGCCAATAATATATATTTTTTTTTCTATTACATACAGGTATGGTTTCACTTTTTATCTCACGATTCGCGTTAATAATTTGTTCACGTCGGTTAACCCGTTCAATTTTTTTTTTTTAAATCAATTTAATTTCGATAGCTGGATCTATTTCGATAGAATTTGCAGCGTCGTGTTTTTCAATTATATTACTCGCGTTAATTAATTAATTTGTGTTTTCGATAGATTTATCATTAGTATTCATTTTATCACGCTTTTTTACCGCGCTACTATAAAGCATTTTACTCGGTTTCATCGAAATATTTCTATCATTACTATGTAATTTAATCGCGTTATTCTTTGATATCCTGCTATCTATTTTTTTTTTTTTTTTTTTTTTTAACCTCATGGCTATAATCGAAATCATTATTATCATTAATTATATTAGCGGTTTCAACCGTACCGGGATTAATGTTTAATTTACATGTTACCGTTTTTATCGATAGTCTTTTTTTTTTTTGAAACGTTCAAAGATTCGTTACTTTTTATAATTTTTCCAACTTCTTTATTAGAATTCGCGTCATTTTTAGTTTTTAGTGGAAATTCAACGATTTAGGTTGATCTTTCCACTCTTAATTTATCATAACCTTGTATATTTAATTTATCTTTATCATTATCAACATGCAGTAGGTTTCTGCTTAATTTTATCTTTTGTTACATTAATATGCAGTAGGGTTCTGCTCAAATTATTTTTTATATCAACATGCAGTAGGATTCTGCTCAAATTATTTTTTATATCAATATGCAGTAGGATTCTGCTCAAATTATTTTTCTTTTATATCAACACGCAGTAGGATTCTGCTCAATTTATTTTTTATATCATTGTTTAATACCGGAGTTAACGTCTTTATGTCCGTGTTACCGTAACTAAGGACTGTCCCTTCAAGACATCCTGATTATCATTTTTATCGTTAATTTAGTTCACTGGAGTTAACGTTTGAATTACGTGTTACCGCGATTAAGGACTGTTTCCGTGAAACATCCACATTAGCATTTTTATTGAAAGTATAGACTACCGGACTTAATGTTTAAAATTCATGTTACCGTGTCTTGGGGACTGTTTCCGTGAAACACCCAATTTAATATTTTTATCGTTTAGTGCCATGTTCAACACCTTTCCTATTAATGGACTTATAATTTTATGATTATCTCAATCGAGTATATCTAAAATTTATCCAATGGATTGGGTTTTTTATGTTCTGTTAGAAATTGCCTTATACTAAAATCCGCCATAAGTGTAAGGATGCTATTTGCCCATCCGTTCTAACTTAGCAGTAAAAATAAAATTTTCAGAATATTAATTTGTTTAGCGTTCTAATACAAATTCTTTTCAATATCAATACTAAACTACGATTCAAATTTTATTTATTTAAATAGCCTAACAAAGTACTCTGGAAAATTGGTTAGGATTGGTTAAAAAGAAAAGTGATCAGTTTCTCGTTCTAACATCCTTGTGTTAATCAATTCCAAGCCTAACAAGATATATATATATAACGTGTATATATATAAATATTTTCATAAAATTGGTATAGCAAAGTGGGAAAATAAAAGCATGAATAGATCCGCAGATCGGTAAGCTTCCTTCTAAACATAAAAAGTGGCCCTTTTCAGGCGTTTAATAAATAAGTAATATTTAACTCGAGTCGGCAACTCTAACAGAATGGCGAACATATTATATTTATTTATATATCTATTTTTTTTTTTATACGCTACATATTATTTAATATATGTATTATAAAGAACAGCATTTTACTTATTAACTTATAATTCAAATTTTTTTTTTTTTTCTATAGGCAACACCCAGAAACTCGCCAAGATTGCCATATTCATAGTTATTTATTTACTTCTAAATTCGTATATATATATATTTTTTTCTAACTGAAAGTTACTTGGTTATAAGTCATTAACCACAATTGATTTAATTATTTAGGTAATAATAATGATTTTGACATTAACAATAGTTAAGTTAATTTATAATATAGGTATTACTGAGACGTATATGAACTTTTGATTCGATTTATGGTCTATCAATCTGGTCAAGGTGTTTCTAGGTGTTATTTCTCTTTAAGTGATAAGCATTTTTTTTTCTTTCTATCACTGGAAATGCGCCGATTGGCGATTCAGCGATCTCTCTTTAAAAATGATGCCTGTACCGTTGCAATCATTACATATAGCTGGACGAGTTCGAACAGAAGTTTGATAATTTCTATTATTATTATTTGTATTAATACTATATTTCATACGTGATTTACAAAAAAAGGAAATATGGCCAAGCCTATTACAAATCCAACAGCGTGTGTTTGCATACTTGTTAATGTTAACATTACTACGGTCAATAATGTTAGAAACAGTCTTAGGTGATTGAGATTTTTGTTTAGGTTCCCTTACACTAGATTTGCTAACATTACGTTGTGAATTATAACATCTATCTATTTCTTTTTCTATTGATTCAACTGACCTCCCCTTAACATCCTTATCTACTATATCGTTACAATCATTTCCTATGTCATTGTTTCCTATTTTAATTAGTTCAGGGGATTCTATAATTTCTGATTCAAAAAATCCTTCATTACTACTTTCATTACTATCGCTTTTGGTCAGGTCTATTAATTGGTCTATAACTTGATTTCCTAAAGTATCTTTTGATTCCATTTTTTTTTTATTTTTTAAATTTTGGGAGATGACTGGGCCTACCTACACTTAAGATTATCACTTATATAAAACAAAAATTCTTAACTTAGCTTAATACAATTTAAGTTCCTTATCTACTTACAAAAGAGCGTTCATATTTGAATGGTTCTTCCAAAAACGTCGATTTCAACGAAGTGCTTCAATTAACTTGTCCCTTCCAGTTGAAATCAGTTGGACTTGATGTCGTTACCGTCTTTGAACGATCCCTTTAGACTGCGCCAATGTAGCAACCCTGTAGCCCTGTACGTATGTATTGCAGGCTGTTTGAGTGTTGTTACAATCGTGGTGATAGGTTTTTAGATATTTAATAGAATAACTTCAGAGTAAATCACAAACATTTAATTTAATATACTTATAAAACATGTACAACGACAAACAGTTAATAGCATAAGTTCAGTATGCTTCAAAAATATGATGATTAAGACAATTATAAGCCGCTTAAGACTTCAAAAGAAGATGATAGGTAGAAACTTCAAGTGTAGTGTATGGTGGTCCCAGTACATCTGCTCTGCTATGACTGAAGTTCTCCCTTATATGTTGGTCCGCTCGCTGAATGGCCGTGGGAATCCTCGCAATTATCGAAAGTCCGCGTGTGGATGACCTCGCTCGTCCATGACATCCGCTTATGTCAACGGTGGAGGAAGGGTAGAGGCATGAGAGTGCAGCCTTCGCATGGTCGAAATTGGCTAGCTTCGATGTGAGATTCGCACGGTAGTTGCCAAAAACGTTAAGTTTCTCTTAGTGGTTGGCCTCGTGTTTGAGGTCAACTGTGAACAGAATTGCAAGTTGTCTGCTTTCGCAAGATGCTGTAATGACCTTTTGGGTCTGATGTGAAATCGGCACGTGTGGTACATTCATATTTAGCAATATTTAATAATGAGAAGTTATATAATATAATATATAGATATATGTATATGTTAGTCCTGATAAGTTGTACAATGTAATAAATATATATATGTATCTATTAGCCCTGATAAGGGTGGGTCCGTTACAATTATCGCCAATCGGCTTTTTTTAAATAATACAAATAAGTAGGTACATACAACAGTATAAAAGAGGAAAACAATTAATACAACAAATGAACTACCACTGACAATAAAAATAAATCATAAGCCTCCGTACAAAACTGTACAGTGTCATTGTATTCACGCATCATCCTAATTAGGGTGACATTTTTAGCTAAATTCGTTCTGCTCAAAGGTAAATAAAATTGACTTTGAAGCCTAGTATTGCTGGGTACAATAATATTGTGTCGCCCCAGTAAACGCGGAGCATCAATATCACCATTCAATAATTTATGTAAAAAATTAATCCCGAATTTCTTGCGTCGTTGGTCCAAATACTCAAGCTTGAGTACTTGATTTATAGGAGCATAATCGTGGACTTGGTGTGCGATATTGAGAGAACAACCAGCAAAACTAAGAAACCTGTTTTGTACGTTATTAATTCGTCGTTTGTCAACTGCTGTGTAAGGTGGCCAGATCAATGCCCCATATTCTAAAGTCGACTGAACAAGGGTGCTATAGAGTGCAACTAAACAATCACGAGACTTAAATTTGGATGAATTACGACGAATAAACCCTAACACACGCAGAGCTTAACCAACAACGTAGTCAATATGAGGTCGAGGGTCAAGAAAAGGGACATAAAGCAAACCTAAGTCATTTACTTGACAAACACCTTTTTAGATAATGATAATGATAATGTGTATATTATACTGCTCTGTACAGTGTTCTACATATTATGTGGTGCGCTTTTTTTTAACTATTGATAAAAACTATAGTTTTTAATTTACTAAACACTTGACAATTAAGGTCATATAACAAAGCTTCTATATATTTTAGTATATTATTTAAAATATAATATCTTACTCGCTGCGGATCTACCTCCAGATACAGTTCTACCTCTGTTATCAGTTAAACCATACTTATGATGAGCAATAATGTCATAGGTTTGAGCTGTGATACATAGTTTAAAAAAATTTGTATAAGAACAGTGGATTTGAAAAACTTAAAAAACTTTTGTTTAAAAAATAAATTGGTTACTGACTTATCTTGTAAACATAATCCATATAAACCGCTGTAAAAAGGTGAAATATTGAATTTTTTTAATTTTTCAAACTATCTTAAACTGTTAAAATAAAATAATTACCATTATCATCTGCCAAAACATCCACGAAGAAAAAATATATAAATACACAGAAGAGTTTCATTTTTATCTGCGAATAATAACAAATAAAAGAACATTTTATATGAGCCATAGTTGCCTCCGGTTCAAAGACGAGAAGGTTATGGTTTTGCGAAGCAGTTTTAATATAATAGATAAATAAATAAATATATATATATATATATATATATATATATTATGTACTTATACATTTTTTTACCAGACTTATAATATTTCCTAGACCGTTAAACTAATTTTTTTGTATAGGAAGGTAGAAATATAATTTGAAAGGTACATAATTTGGCAAAAATTACAGTTATTTCACTATAATAAAGGTAGACAAAAATACAATTAATTCTATTAACTATTTAAATTGTATAAAAAAAAAAGGGTATTCATTTCTGTCTAATATACGTGTACAAATTTGTTTTTAACGTTTTGTTTTAAAATCGTCAGAAATAAATTTAAAAACATGCAAAAACATTTTTTTTTTAATTTTGACTTAACAATAAAAGCAGATAATGAAAACATTTCAATTTTCAAATCACTTACTTTTAAAAATAAAATTGAACACGTATATGAATTTAGTTCTCTACAAAGTTATTTTTTTTATATCTTTGTACTGTGAAACCTTTTTGAGTAATGTCTACTTTTGTTAGGTATTATGAAAACGATTTAAAAAACTACCATGATTCACTACACTTCCTTTAGTGTACTTCAAGCCAAATAACGAAAAACCTCAAGATATATTATTGAATTCTCTCCAAAATGTGGATTGTGTAAAACGATGATTAAGAATCGATAAAAAAATAACTAGCAAAAATAATCATTATTATTGTTCTTAAACACCACAACTTTTGACTCATAAGGCTCATGCCTTTTTAGTTTCAGCGTATTAAAATTTTTTAGAGTTTAATAGAAATACTTACATAAATTGAAGAGGTAGTAAGAGTTTCTTGGACAACAATCGACTTGTTAAGCTTTTGAAACTAAATGTTCTACTTGCGACTTATGGATGGGCTTTTTATCGACCGAAAAATCACAATCCGAATATTTTTTTGCAATACAAATATGGTTATTTACTTACAGAACTGCTTTATTCTTTTTCTTTTTTTTTGATTTATCGTGTATACATTACTAAGAAATCGGCGTATGGACTATGTTTTTCTACACAATACACTTAAATAAAAAAATATATTATTTGACGAAATAGTATTTTTTTTTTAAATGTTATTATGAACTTACAACAACTGTTTCAAATGTTCCAACTATTGAAATTTGAAACACTTTTACCTTTATTGAAATACTAAAATTCGAATAACATCCATTTATAATTAGTTAAAATTGAATAATCATTTTCAGCAATAATTTATAACAAAGTGCCTTATGCTAATTATGTTTAATCCAAAACAATGGCCAGACCTTTGAGTTGTTAAACGATCTCGAATTAATTGACTTGACGGCTTATCGGATGGGTTAATGGTTAGGATCACATAACTGTGTGAAATTAGAATTTTAATCAACCTCAACATGTTTATCACTGTAGCTACCTTGGTTATAAATTATCAAAATTTACAAAATTATATTTGTCAACAAAATGTGAATAATAACACTATGATCGTCTTCTATATGCTAAATGCATGTAGATGCTAAATAAATATTTGTTCAGACTTTAACGCCAAAACAGTTCACGAAACTGTCATAATCTACTCTACAAGGTTCTACTATGAATTTAATGGTCATCCGAACCTCTCGTTTATAACCACGCTTCTAGTTCACTATCAGACATCTTGAAGTCTTCAACTTTGAAGATATTTTACGTCTTAATACTGTATCACACGAATTTTTCTCATCTATCATTGTTCGTCGACAATTCGGCTTCTAAAAGCTAGCCCAAGGTCATCATTGCGATCAATATAATATTACAGTTTTTTCAAAAGCAAAAACTACGCAATCAAGCAAAAAAAATAAAGCGTACTACACCGAATCAGGAATTACTTATATCGTTTTACTCTTAAATCAATAGGAAAATCAAACTTTACCAAAGTCTTCCTCTCTCTCCCCTCTTCCTCAAGAAAAAGTTTAATTTATTAAAAGTGTTGTTGAAAACCAAACATTACATAAATGAAATGAAGCACATTCGAACTCGTTTAAATAAGCTTTAAAGGCTATTCAAAAATTCGTAATTACCTTGGTCTTCATTGACTTCAGGCAATTTGATTCCTGTAACAACTACATCAAATCATTATGCATTATGAGTTTTGAGTTAAACCCGGTTTATATAATATTACAGTCACTCTATAACTGAGATAATTTAGACCAATTAATTAATGCAAAATAATATTGTGTAAATGTTAATGTATTTAAAATAGCGATGTTTGAATAAACGGTTTATATTTCGAATGATCATTAAAAGCTTAAGCATAAAATATATATAGCTTTATGATTTCATATTTGAATAGGATATTGTAGAGTTACAAATGTGTAGGTAACTATCAATTTTTCAAATGTTATATTTACCTAATTTATATTCTATTTCTTCTAGCATAATATAATAACGTAACGAATAGCTTTAAAATTAAAACAAAAAAATAAATTTTATTTTACCTACACATAATTTTATTATTAATATCGATATGTCATAATGGTATTAGTCAATTGGTAGTTAAGTATATTAAATATAAGTATACTCATGCCTAATAAGACTAGGGCCTCGGTAAAAATTAGGCTTAAAGAAGTAATGTGAAAGCGATTGTCTAAATGTTCATTTTTCAAAAACAGTAATTTAACCCTTTCAGACCGGCGTGCTATTTTAATGGCATAACAAAATAATAGCCGTTATAAAATTAATTTCTTTGTGTAATTTATATATATACGTAAAAACATGTGTAGAATAAGTTAAAAATGATAAAAATGTAGTACGGGCAAAATATGAAACGATAATGAAAGATTTTTAATAACAAAAAGGTTTGCTGAAAGTTTTTTTTCGTATTCTCTTCCATTATCAAAAAAAAAAAAAAAAACAAACACTATCAGTAGAGTAGGTATAATAATTATTGGAATCATTAAATAAGAACCGAAATTAGTCATACTAAATGTGGCTTTTTATAAATGTGTTTTGTTCACAAATTTTGAAAGTAATAGACTGACGAAGGTTCTAAATAATAAATGTTCCTCAAATGAAGTTATTTGAAAATTTAATGTGAGTTTAATGCTGAAATATCTCTAATCCAACTGTAATCTAAATCCTACCTGGAATATATATACCGGATTCGGTCATGATGCACACAAATAAATAAAATGATTATTTCAGGTTTCTTTCTCAAAAATGTAATGAACATAAAAGATCTATCATTAAGATGTAGGTATTGTACAAAAATTGTATTATAATAAAACTAACAAAACATAATTAATTAAATATCTAGTAAATATCATGTATCATTCAATGCAGTTGAGATGAAAAGCATCGGCATCTTCCCTTGAACGAATTTTCGTTATGATTTTCTTCCAAAAGTCTCATCGACAATTACGGTTTACTGTTCCTTATATTTTAATATTTGATTGGCATTTACTTGTATTTAAAACTTCTATTTGATTCCTAATAAAGTATTTTTATAAAAAGTTTTTTTATATTATTTTTTCAGGAATTTAACAGCTATTTAACAAAATATATGTGTCTAATTAAAAATATTTTATAACATCTAAAAATATAAAAATATTTGATTGGGATGTATAAAATTATTTAATAAATAGTTTTAAATATTAAATTAAGTATAAATGTATTGATCAGAAAATTAGTTGAACAAAATATTATTTTGCAA